CATTGTACCCTACAGAGCTGTACTAAATGAAACAAAAAGCCCCAGAACAACAGAGCCTCCCCCATGTTTCACAGTAAAGACAGTCTTCTTTTATAAATTGTTTCATTTTTCCGTCTGTGAACAAAGAGTTGATTTGCTTTGGCAAAAAGTTAAATTTTTGTCTCCTCTGCCCATGTGACATTCTCCCAGAAGCTTTGTGGCTTTGACGCCATATAATTTAGCTAATTTCATTTTTTTATGAGTTGTTTTTCAAAATGACTTTGTCCTTGGTCGTCTCCCATGAAGTCCACTTTGGATCAAACAATGATGGATGGTGTGATCTGACTGATGTTCTCTTGAGCTTGAAGTTCAACCCTTTTAACCCTTTTAGAACTTTTTCTCTCTTTTTGATTATTTTTATTATCCGTCTCTTTAAATTTTTCATATATTTTCCTCCTGAGCCACATCCAGAGAGGTTGGCTACAGTCTATTGGATCTTAAATTTCTGAATAACATGTCTGGCTTTAGTCCACAGGAACATTAAGCTAACTGGAGATGGCCTTATAGCCTTCATCTTTAATATCTTTGTCTATAATTTTCTTTTTAGTCTCCTGAGACAACTCTCCCCTTTGCTTCCTCTGGTCCATGTTGAGTGTGGTAGACACCATGTCATCAAACAGCACTGTGACCACCTGTAGCTCTACATATAGGCCCACTGACTGATAGCAAGCTTGTAGACAGCTGTGATTAGTGGCACCTTGATTCAACGTGTCCCTTTGGTCACATTTTTTATTACTTTATTTCAGGCTTTTTTCATGAGTGTATTTTTTTTAACCTCTTTGTTTAAAGCCCTGTTGGAAAGCAGTGTCTGACTTTAATTTGTTCAGTTTTATAGCATACAGAATTTAGAACTAGTTATTTCTGTGAATATTGTGTGTTTTTATTTCACTAAAGGAGGTTTACCAACAATTTGTCTATGTTTGTTTATTTGTTTGTTTGTTTATTTATTATTAGGAACCCCATTAGCTGTGCTTTACACCCAGCTACTCTTCCTGGGGTCCACATCATTAAAATACAGTATATGATGTAAATTCATGAACATGTTTGACAGATGACAAATATCATAAACATATCAATCAGACTGAACATTCATAGAAAAGGGGAAAGTTACAATTTAAAATTTTAACATTTTATGAATAAGTTACAATACATTAGAAAATGAAACTATTTCATTTATAGATGCATTGCTCTTACAAACTTCTTTAGTTGCATTTTACAAGCAGATTTATGTACAATTTTTATGAGAATTAATGGCAATCATTGCTCTGTAAGTAAAGGTGTATTTGAGAAAATTAGTTTTCGCCCTAGAAATTACAAATCGTCCTTCAGCTGCATGTCTTGTTAGCCTGGTGAGACCATCCTGATCTCGCGATTTTTCAAGGTTTCACTCGCAGATCAGTCTGGAGACTCTCCGTTAAAGAAAATTTGGAGCCGTTCACCAAACGAACGTCCAATCAGCGTTGGCTTTGAGGCGGGTTG